CATGTATGGGGCAGTTGCCATTGTGGTGTTTCTCCAGGTTTGTATTGCACCTGCCACATTTGGATTGAAACTCATGTCTGGGTTCGCAGACACTACATGTTATTTATAGTTTTACTTGAATGATTTAGGGGGGAAAGGACCACTCACTGAGTAAATAATAGGATTATATTCAAATGTCCAACATAGCAATGTGTGAAGACATTGCAGGGGAAAAAGAGAGTGAAGTTTTCTTTCAACTTTAATTCTTCAAAGCTTCAGTGAGAAATGCCATAAACTCCCCTTCCTTCTTTGCTGCTTCTAGTCAGGAGAAATTTGGGCAGTTCTCTTGAGCTCTCTATTAATTTAGAAAGCAGTATGGTTGCTTTCTATAAGAAACTCTTACTTAGAATCCTCTCTTTGTGTTATCTTTATCACCTAATTGGAAGTTAATGCTACTGTTGTCTTAATCACATTGAGATTTCAATATAAAAATACTTCAGAAGCAGCAGGAAAAGGTGAGTGATGGCACCAATATCTGGAGTTTGGTTTTGTTTCAGAGAAACATTTGAACTCCTAGTCACCCAGTAGGACCATTGTTATAGTTAGAGAAATTTAGAATATTTAGAATATTAGACATATTTTGTTTTATTTCTTCACACTTGGTACAAAGTCAAGGTCCCTTTTTTTAAAAGCTCTGAAGAATTGGACAGGCCATAATGGACCTTTACAGTACTAGGCTTTGCTCTGCAGCACTTCACACTGTAAATCTCCTTTCCAGGAGATTGCCTTGGAAATATTCTTCAAAAATGGTTACTCCAGATTTCTTGTCTTCCACGACAGCGACCGAAATAAGATATTTAAAAGGTAATGACTATCTCATAATAATATGGGAATACCCAAGTGATGCTCCTGGTCTACCACCCCTATTTATCCTGGCCTAAGGTGTCTGTGTTGTGTTCCCACAGCAGCTTTATTTTCAATTGCATCTCCTTGGGCTTTAATGAAAATTTTCCTTTTGCTGACCTGTGAATTCTTTGGAGCATTAAATAGCCATTGATTTATCAAGGGATCTAATGCATGTGTGGGACTTTTCTAGCACCCAGTGGTGTGGTGTGTGTCCCTGCATCCCAGGAAATGGCAATTGTAGCTGTGCTCCTTCCCTGCTCTGAGATGAGAGCAACCTCCATCTCACCTCACAGTACTGGGTGAAAGAAGATTTCTTCCTGCTTTTTCCAACATACAAAGTGTCATTAGATTCTTCATGAATAAAATATTTTTGCCTTTCTGACACTGACTTTATCTTTGGTGTGGAGTTAACTTTTAGCAATGGCATTTTTATTTGAAAAAGATTTCTCCCTATATGCTTGTCTTATTTAATGGAACTTGAATGTAAGACTATGAAGTGATTAATTTGCACTTTATTTTCTTGTGGGTTTTTTTGGTTTTTTTACTGTAGTTCTAACCATTATATCACAATTGCATTCACTGGACTTTACACAGGACAAACACTTCAATACCAGTATTTCTCCTGTAGTAAATGTTGCAGCCTGAACTGAGGATTGGTACTGTTAATTTCTAAACAATCACAGCAATTCCTTTTGCTCCTGAAATCTCTGAACAGTTCCTGTAGGAGTTTTGCATACAAAAGTCAGTGCAAATTTATTTAATTTTCCTTTCCAAATTGGCTACATAGTGTGACTACTTAGAATCACAGGGTCAGCTGCTTTGTCTAGTCCTTATCTTTGCTGTCTTTGAGCTCTGACAAGTATCTTGGGGAAATCTTTCAAAGGCAGTTCAACTTGAGGTTTTGATCTTCAGCTGAAGGTCACCAAACCTATGTATTCCAAGGAAATGTCTGAGTGGGTTCTTATTCACTGGCTTTAATAGCTCCTTTAACCACCTGATCATAAGTCCATAGCCCCATATATAAATTCGAAGTCCTGTTTGAGAAAGAAACTGCTTTTATCCAGCCCACAGGCAATTCCTTAACACTAGATGTATGCTGTTGCTGTGTTGTCTTGCAGCTTTATTCTAGGTTAGAGTCTCAGTGAAATGCTGTGGCATCCTTCGGGAAGAAAGTTGTTGCTGAGGACATGATATTAGTTATATACATATGTAATGTATCCTAATAACCATTTACATAAATATGTCACCTTTCATATATCTCCTATAGATTTTGCTCTTTCCAGCCTGCTTTGAAGTCGAAGGGGATAACAGAAGAGTCCCTGAATATAAGGTAAACCATAGGAAACATTGGATAACTGTAGATAAGTGCAATTGTGTGAATAAGTTGCACCTTAAAGCAAAACATACAGAAACTTACCTATTTGTGTCCCCTGTTTTAAAGATCCAAAGATGTTGGTAGAGCTCCAAAAACCATTCTAGCATATATCATCCACACTATGAAGACATGAAGATAGCGTTGAGTAGGTGATCATGCACAGTTGATTAATAATTATTATCTCCTTAATATTACTTTATTGGTAAAGTCTACACAGATTCTTACTGTGGGAAGAGACAGTGAGATGAGGTTAGAGCTAATCTGTAATGCTTCTGCATAATGACCTCTTCATTGCGTGGTGAGGGCAGACAGTGATAGTTGTACACATGGATCTTTTGGTATGTTATATTAGCTGTATAGTGGAGATTCAGACTTGTCCCTCAGATTTACCACTGCAGGAAAAAAAAAGGTTTCTCCTAGTGCCAGGTGACTGAGAGCATGTTTCATGCTGACCATGAGTTACTTGCATACCTGTAATTTTTCTCAATTTGGGTTTCTGAGGAACACAACCCTAAGTGCCTCTGAAATGATCACCTGAGGCTGAAATACTGTTGAGACCTAAGGGGCAGATTGCACCGGTGAGTTGTTGTGACCTGTGTCAGCTGTATTCTTTAATTTTCTGTCTACCCATTGTAGATCATTACCTATCTTATAAGTGAGCATTTTTATCCAGTCATCAACTGGCAAAAAGTATCAGTGCAGTCTGCAGCCATCTCTGGCCAGAACCTAACCTATACCAGAGGGGATGTCTGACACTGTGGAACATGATGTCTGTTCTGTGAGGAGAACATAGTAACTCACCCTAGGGCTTCCTTTCCCTGTGCTTCCTGGGTGCTCAACAGGTGTGAATGTCATGAGATAAGATGCACTACAGCATTAGGAACTTTGGGCATTAACTGGGCTTGTGGTTGTTGTGAGAAACACTTGAGTCATATTTAATCTCAGAGATTGAGGCAGGCTGCATGTCTAGGTCTAAAACAACATATCCTGAATCCCATAAGGCTCTGTCTTCAGTTTTACTTTATTGGCTGAGAGAAGACCCTGTTCATCTTACTCATTCTGAGAATGTAAGGGGCCTTTGGCACAGCTTTGGCTGGACCATGTTAGAGAATGAATTGAAATAAAATAAACATAAGATAGTACCACTGCCTAAGTAACTATCCTAGAAAAGTTGTGCTTAAGTGGAAAGTTAGTGAAAATTACCTTAGTAGGTGTGCTTCCCTTTACCAAGCTCCAGTCAGAACTCAAGGACTGAGGACATGATGAGTTTACTTTTCCCTTGTTTGAATTTTGAACCTGCTTCTGAGTTAGAAAATTTAAAAGCGGCATATGGAGTTTCTTCCCCATCTAGGAGTACAATGGCCATCTTCCACAGAATCCCCACTTTTCTTGCCCTACGTGAGACAGGGAGGCAGGCCAGATTAAGCCCTTTGTCCAGATACACTATTAATAATTGCACATGAAAGCTGAAGCGTGGAAAGAAGAAATTACTAGTTTGATGAATCACATGACATTGAGGTAATAGCATTTCTGGGAAACCCCATGTAGTTTTTTCCACCTAGTCCACAGGAAATACATAAGAGTTCCAACTCCCATGCTCTACTGTAGTAATTTAAAAAATAAAGTGCTCCTGGCACTTTATTGTTCATTTCAATATTCTTAAATGTTTGCTGTCACCATAGGTTATTACGGTCACTGCCAGCACTTCTTCTCATGTCATGCTTGACTGCTTTTATAATCTGCTCATTGCTTGTACCTGTATATTGCTGTTTGCAGGCTCTCAGCACTCCCTGCCCTAGGGATGTGATGTGAGCAAGTGAATGTGTGTACTCAGGTGCACACAAGCATATGAACATGTGAACAGAAAGCTAAAAGTACTGTGGGGACACTAGACCTGACTCATGGATCACAGAAGACAACGACTCTTCTTATTAACTTTAGTCACTGCTTAAGTGATAAGCCTGGGACCCTTAGAAAAAAACCTTTTCCCCACCCCTTCTCCCTTCTGCAGCTTCCTTGGAGGATTACTCAGAGGCAGACAAAACACAATGAGTATGGGCAGTACTGCTGATTGTACTGTGCAACTGGGAGATTGCTGCACCTAGATATAGCACCCAAAATCCCAAAGAACTTGCTTGCGCAGAGTCTGGCCCCTTGATGGCAAAACAGGATCATGGGTTGTCTATCTCTAAGCATTGTGTTTCCACTGCTTAGTTATTGCTGAGCATAACATTTGTAGCTGCTGCCTCTGAATTAGAACAGGCTCACAGTTCCTACGCTGACAGTGCCTATCTGGGACTGTGAGAGCTTGGTGGCAGCCACCAGCAGCAGAAGGTTCCCAGGTCTGTGCCTTTTCCTCCAAAATGTATTTACTAAGACTAGTTTAACTGTTTCTCACCCAATGAAAATGAACACAGCTAATGTATGACGCTTAGTGGTGGGAACAGATTTACTAGAAAAACCTGTCTTTTAAAAGATCTCTTCACTGGACACATTCACACACAGAAGACCCCCAAAACACCCAAACATGGAGAACATGTTGTAGGAACAGGCCCAGATGGAAATAGCCCTTCCCAAATACATATCTGTTTTAGAGACCACAGAGATCAGCTTCTAAAACAGAGCAGAACTTTAAAGAAGAAGAGCAGAAAAACAGAAGAAGAGGGAGGTCAGCTGTATTTGTTTCTTTTTTTTGGACTAAACTTCAAAGAACATGATGTGTGGAGTGCCTTGATATATTTCAAGGATCTGTGCCTCTTACTCTCCATTCTTCTTGATTCTCCTTTGCAGAGGAATTGGGTGTAAGGAGTGAAGGGAAACTGAGCTCTTTGGAGGAAGTAGGTGTCATGTCCTCCAACTTGTGCAGCTCATCCCTCTCACCCTTACACATCTTCAGGCAGGAAGAGCACAGGTCTTTCTCTTCTACTAAGTAAAGCGTTTCTATGCGTTTAATGGTGTCAACCTCCTCCTTTGGCTTTTCTAACTCTCGTAAAGGATTTCTTTTTACATTCATTCTCTCAATCTTGGGAAGATTTTTCACACTTTTTGGTATGGTGGTCAAGGCGTTGTCAAAGAGACCTAGATCAACGAGTTCCTTCAGGGCCCCAAGAGTGGTGGGAACAGTCTCAAGACAGTTCAAGCCAAGGTTAAGAGTCTTGAGGTTCTTGAGAAGGTTCAACTCTTCTGGCAGACTTTCGGTGGTCAACTTGTTGTTGCATATGTTCAGGAAAGTAAGGTTCTGAAGTGTGCCTATTTCCTTGGGCAGCTCATCAAGCTGATTACTATGCAGGTCCAACCAGAGCAGATTCTGGAACTTCTCAATGGTGTTTGGAATCTTTCTCAACATGTTTCTGCTCAAATCAAGTTCCTCCACATCAGCCAGTTCCAGAATGCATTTGGGGAAGGTGGTGATGCCCATTTTGCTCAAGTCAAGACGGCGCCTTCCACTAAAACTTACCCGGATTGAATTTTTGGCCATTTTCAAAGTGATCCTTTTCCCTTGTGGACCTTTTCCTTTCCCCTTGGCCATGTTGTCGCTGAGAGATAGACACACACACCAGACTCTGTGGATAAAATGTGGGAATTCCAATAAAGCCTTTGAAAGCCATAGCTGTTAATCACACAGTTATAAACTAATGTTACCATTAAACTCTTCAGAAGTCCTTTTTTTTTTTTTTTTTTTTTTTGAGATCAGGACTTTTCAACCCCAAAGCTGCAACTCTGAAAGTTCTTCCTGAAAGTATTTTGAGTAGGTGAAATTCTGATAATTTACAATATGATTTTATTGCAATGTAACACCTATATTGCATTACAGGGTGAAATTACAAGTGGGAGACATTTGCTGTCTTTCATCCCTAAATAATAATTTAAGCCCAGGATGTTGTGAAACAAACCAAAATGTGTTATTATCCATCAGCCATTTGAGGACTGAAGCAAATGTAACCTGGGTCTCAATCCAGTCCTTAGGGACTGCATTAAAAGAGGCTATCCAAAAAATTGTCTCATTCTACCAGATCAACAGGCCTTCTTTACAGGCCTGGCATCTGCTAACAGGTTGGTTAAATGTCGTGTTTAAAGGACCTAAGATTTGGGCTCTGGATGCTATTGAAAGATTTAGAGTTTAAAGGAAATTATTATGAGTCTTATTTTAACCTAGTGTGCTCCCAGACTTGCCAGCATTGTTGGCAATTGATGCATCACCTGCAGGGCAGACTGCAGCAGGGATTGGTGTCAGTGCTGCTTAATGACATGTTAAACCAGGCCTTGCTAAGTGTCTCCTGTGGGTAACCTTGTCTTTTCATCCGTGCTGTGGGATAGATGGTCACCCACTGCAAAGGTGCCCTGCCCTCAGAAAAATGCATGTAGGTGTTCTGCTCAGACTTTTGACTCATACTGATGCTCAGCATGTGTTACGTGCTTTATTGAATTGAGGCCTGTAAGAACAGTCCACTTAGTCTCAGGTTTGGTGAACTCTCTCTAATTGAAGATCATCAAATACAGCTACTAATTATGGTTAGTGACATAGGAAATAGGCTGATTCCCTGGAAATGGATGACAATGTCCCTCTCAGCCAGAGTTCAGAGAGGAGCATGAGTTACAGCTGGCTAACCTCAGGATGGTCTGGGTGCTCTGGCATTTAATTGTGGAGAGTCAAATTGAAGCTTTGATGAATGATTGTTTGGGACAAAATATGGATTTGTCTACAATACATTTCCCTATTAGAAAGGCTTCATTACAAACCCTTCAGGCTTTTTGGCTACTCATTAATCATGTGCGAATACATGAAGGGGAAGCTCAGGCTACAACCAAGGCATTTCAGCTCCTTTTCAATTACATGCCACAGCCCAAAATAATGCAAAAGCAGGGGGAGTCTCTCCCAGCTACTACCCCCCCTCCAAAGAGCTTGGTTATGAGGCAGATGCTTCAGAAAATACTGGAAGCAGCACAGTGGATTCAGTCTTGCCCTGAGGGTATGCTCCAAAATAGAACCTTTGTTATTTTATATGAAAACATTTAAACATAGTTAAATCTTTCTGTGTGTCACTCCTGTGTTTCTGTCTCTCACCAGTACTTACAGGGCTATATTACCATGATATCTGATGGCCTCTTACTCTTTGCTGCATTTAACCTTGCAGTGCCCAAAGGGCAATATCAATGCTATTCTTTTTCAGTGTAGATTGGTAACTGAAGCAAAGTACTCTACAGTATAAGCAGAGAAGTACATTTTCACCTTTGTTGATGTTAGCGTAAATAATTTGCCCAGGAGTGCGTAAGAAGTTCTGGAGGTCAAAATAGCAGGGTTTTCTAATCACAGCTCACTCATTTTAAGGATTTTATGCAATATTGTTTTTGTCAATTCTGTGAAGATAAAATTCAGCTGTGTAGGAAATGCCAGAGCCCTGGTGCTGGTACAGGACACCTTGGGTCCTTTCTGGTGCACAGAGGATGACTACCATGCTTCAGAGAAAGATCTGTAGGGCAGCTTCCTTATGTGTTGGCTCAATGGAAGGAGACTTTCTGCTTCCTGCAATTGATGTGAACCAGGTGACTTTTAGGTCCAACTTTTTCTTTTTTAGAATTTTGTGTTGGATGAGTTGATCAGAACATTCAGTGCATTTGTATGCCTTTAAGAAAATGAATGGAAGTTTCAAAGAAAGATACGTATTTTTTTCTAATTTCGAAATTATAATTTCTTTTAAAATGCTTCTTAAAACATCTTTAAAACTCTTGGAAATAAAACATTTCCGTTAGTTCCTACTAATTTTTTTCTGTTAGTTTTCATTTAAAATCCAAGAGGGGAACATTGAGCCAAACCAGTTTCCTTTCTTATTTTAAAAAATACCAGCGAGGGGAAAAAAAAAAATCAGCCAGTTCTGCCGCTGTTCTGGTAATACTGGTTCCCAGTGCTGGTGTCCCCCTGCGCTGTGCGTGCCTGGCAGCACTAGAGGGAGCCTGGCGTACAAGGTTGAGTGCTGGAGGCTTGGCAGCAGTAACCCTACAGTTTAACCTGTTGGGTTTGGGTATTTCTCTGTCAATTACCTTTTCCAACCTGTTAAAAAGTTTGATGCTGCAAAGTTTGAACCTGGACCTTTCAGATTTTTAGAAAGTTTCTCTTCACCCTGCCTTCTTTAGTCGGATTTTTTAAAAACCTACTGTGAACCTCTAAGATCCACTGATCAGGAAGACATAAGTCCTTAGGGACTGTCTCACTAAAGAGGACCTTGACAAGAAACTTTCCCCTTCTATCCGGACTTGGCAAAATCTTTGTTCTGAATTGGGGTTTTGAAAGCTGAGAGCTAACCCCAGAGTTTTAAGAGTGTTGCATAGGCCCAGAGCTGTGAGGCTGACCTAATACAGAAATGAGTAGAAAATGTATATCAAGGGCAGCATGCTATCTGTGGTACTCAGTGTCACTGGGAGCTGCAGGGATGGAACAGAGCTTGAGCATCAGAACCAAGACTGTCAGTGTCTCTCTGAGGCAAGGAAGGATTGAGGATTACTCCTTATCTGCACTTAAGCACTTGCACAAGGGTCAGTCATGACCCACTGTATCTTAAGTCTGTCCTAAGAAGGAGGTCTGATCCTAGAAGAATGCATATTTCCCTGACTTTCCTCTCGAAAGTCTGCACAGAGCAGAGCAGGCCTGCCAAGCCCAGCAAAACTAGACATGCCCTGCACCTCTCTGGCAATGTGGGAACGTGTTGATTCACCCATGGAATACCTCTATTGAAATACTTTTATATAAAGCTTAAAGCCACCATTTGTACAGCAAATGATTTCGCATGAAGCCAAGCAGTTACACATTGGGTGGGTTTTTATTTCACCACTTAGAAACCTGCTATCATTTCTTGTTGTTGGATACGATCCGTTGTGGAAGAGAGATTAATTCACTGACTATCTTAAATGCAGTCTTTTGCTAACAGGTAGGTTTAGACTAAATCCCGCCATGAGCAAATAGTTCAAGAGAGGTTTTCTTCCTTAGTTTTCCTACTTTTCTAGATCACTTCAGAGCCACCATACTATCATGCTGCAAGCTCACTTGTAAAACCAAAGCCCACCAAGAATAAATAAAGACATTGTTTCATCTTAATAATTTTTCCAGACTGCCCCCCTGCATAAGGTCTTACCAGTTAGTAGCTTGAAAGGCCTAGAAGGTGAGGTACAGATGTCACAAGCTGCTTGGTTTTTCTCAGTAGTGTAGGCTGAGCCTTCATAGTCTGTTACTGTGCAGTTGTCCTCTGTCTTCTCTTCTTTGAGTTATGAATTAGTCTTTCATTCTGTAAATAAAACCGTGAGCAGGAAACACAGGATAGTTTCCTTTCCACAGTCCTGCAAGTTCTGAATTGCACTTTCTTGATGGAAAATGGTAGCCCTTCAAGAAACTTGTGTGTGTGGAGGGAGGAGGAGTAGCAAAAGGGCTTCCCTCGGTGCAGGGTCTTGCTATTCAGTGCTTCTTCCGCAGCCCGTGAAACTTTTGTTACTAAGCAACAGGAGTGTTACGCCCTTGGAGATCATCAGCATAATGGTTGGTTCCAGAATGGAAGTTTGAGCTGGAGGGGGAAGAACTGAATGGCATGCAGTGCCTGGAAATGTTAGATTTCAAATTATGCAGAAAGAAAAAGGCATCTGGAGCTCGTTAGAAGCTGTTAGTCAGCTTCCAGCGTTACTTAACTGTCAGTTTTAGTCTTTTGGCTGTTTCATTTTACTTGGCTGTAACATGGTGATAGATACTTGTATGTGTGTGTTAAAACTCACAACAGTTGTGATACCATCCTTAGCACATGCTAAATTAGATAGCTGTGGACACAGGAGGGAATGCTCACTCAGTGGTACAGCAGAGAGGATGTGAGCTGCAATTTATATTCATCTATCTGTGACCCTTAAAAGGTGCAGTTGCTACAATTTCCCTCTGAAGCATGCGAATTTACTGAAATTTGTCTCTATGACCGAGATTACCAAGATGAAGTTTTTATCAGCTAATTGCAGTAATTTCAAAATAATATCTAGGGAAAAAAGAAGTAAATGAGTGGTTTATTTACGTATTATTGGCAGAACATGCAACACTGAGGCCTCTTGTCTTGCTGATAATGGGTCCAGGATATTACTGGTATAAAGAAGCTGATAATGTTGATATGCTTGTCTGATTCCAGGCTTGGAGATCGCATTCTGCTTACCTCAACAAATAACCAGAATTTACTGGATGCGTTTCTTCCCAACCCAAAGTGTGCCTGAGCACTGCATTTCCACAGTGGAAACGTTATCCCTTTGGTTTAGGCACTGTGAATGCATGTGGTGCAGAGTTCTGTAAATGAGGGAGGTTCCTTTCTCCCTCCCTAAACCCTTCAAGCAGCCCTGTTTGAAAATGACACTTATTTATAAATGTTGTATTATATCTCAGTTCTTTGAGCACAGGTTAAGAATACCCAGATGGTGGACTGCTACAGTCAAAGAAGGAGGACACTGTACCTTTATTCTAAAGTAATCTAACCTAACACTTTTCTGAGTTTGAGAGAGACTTAATTGTTTCAC